GGTCTCTTAAGGGTCAGAGCCGACTTGATGGAACCTAACCTAACAACAACAACAATCACACAACAGGTCTGAGGCAGTGAAGGACTCACCTCTGAAAGGAGGAAAGTACACCTGGTGAGCTCTCAGGTGATCTCCCCGGAGGCTTTTCTGGACCTCAACTCAGAGGAAGCATAGCGACTGCCTTTGGGGCAACAGAGGCAGCTGGATTTTGCAGGCAGAGGAACAAAAGAAAATGCAAATACGAGAAGAGTTTCAGAAATCTGCGGGAGTGGACCTTTATTTAGTCGCTGATTGAATACTAAGGTGAAATGAAAAAAGGGATATTCAACAGGAACAATCAATTATTGAGGCAGTATAATCTGATCAACTACTGGATCTTGAAAGGCATCAAGATACATTAAAAATCTAACTAAGCAGGGAAGTGGGATTTTGTTGGCATATAACAGAGTACCCTGGAATGTGCTTTCTTGGATGACATCCATCATTATTGATATACTGTATTGGTAGTAAGCCTATTGACAATAAGGGGACAATTAAAGTGGAATGATATGAGTAGCAGGAACGAACTAGCCCTAGAGTAAAGAAAGCCATGCTCTACTTATCCTAACAACCCTGGTGGTGCTGTGGCTAAAGTCCTGTAGTGCTAAACAAAAGGTTGGTAGTTCAAATCCACCAGCCACACTCTGTGGAAGAAAGAGGTGACAGCCTTGGAAAACCTATGGCTCACTCCTAAAAACTACACACTTACATACATCGAAAGATTTCATCAAAATAGCACAAAGAAAACCCATAGACTATAGAGAAGAAACGTGGACATTATCAGACAAGGAACAAATAATTTATCGAGATTGACAACTAATCTAATTTTAAAATTAGAACAGGATGTGGCAGACACTTCACCAAAGAAAATACTCAGCTATCGCTTCTCAGCCTTTTGGCTAAGATCAAGTGAAGAAAACACTGAGCTAGTGAACAAAGTAACGAAGAAATAGCAGCAATCATTAGCCATGTTAGAGATGTATATCAAAACAAAGAGAGAGGACCTCATCCAGAACTACTAGCAAAATTGAGAGAGAGGGAGCCAAAAGATTGTAACCTTCACACTGCTGGTGGAATTGTAAAACCGCACAACCACTGTTTAATGCGGTACAGCGCTTGCTCAGAAAGCGAGGAACAAATATTCTATAAGCCAGCAATCCCTCTACTTGGAACATACCCTAGCGAAGGAAGACCTACAACA